TCTCTGTCAGGCCAGTAAGTCTGGTTTTCTTTGTAAGTTAGAATTTTGTTCTACATTTTTCTCCAGCTCTGTCCAGGACCCTCTATTGTGATCCCTGTCAGAGCAGTCAGGGGTGGTAGCCAGGCACCATCGAGTTGTACTAGACTCAGTCTGGTGGAGGCTGTGGTAGTTGTGATCAATTAGTCCTTTGGACTAATCTTTCCCTCGTGTCTTTGGTTTTCTTCATTCTCCCTTGCTCCTGACAGGGTGAGACCAATGGAGTATCTTAGATGGCCACTCACATGCTTTTAAGACCCCACATGTTACTCACCAAAGTAGCATATAGAACATTTTCTTTATAAACTATGCTATGTCAATTAAACTAGATGTTCCCTGAGACTATATCCCTAAATCCAGATTTTTGACCTAACAGCTGAAGCATCTCTATCACTTCCATTGTGACAGAAATTAATTTTTCCATATCTGGTTGAAATTCTTTGTTGATAGCTGTAAAAGGTTCAAATACATCTATGCCACAAGTTTGACTTCTTAGGTCACAAAATGACAACATTTCTTCATAAATTTAGAAGTCCTTTGAGCCAAAACAGATCCAAAATATTAATTGGGCATAACTTATCTAAAGCTAAAGAAAAGTAATCACAATTTTTCAAAAGTTGAATCAATCAATCTTTAATATTCTTAGAAAGAGCTTGTATTCCGCAGGCAAATGTTTGGTGGCTTAATCGAAGACATTTTATTTTTTGTAAAATATCATTTTTACTCTTTTCCTAATAATTTTCTGACAAAATTTCTGTAACTGAAACAATTTCTTTTACCATGTGTCCATTTAAAAATGGATTTCTTTTTTTGTGCTAGAATCCAAACCATTTTATAGCTGGCTAAAGTTACAGGAGCCCTGGTGGCACAATGGTTAAGCACTCTGCTGCTAACTGAAAGGTCAGAGGTTCAAACTCACCACCTACTCTGTGGGAGAAAGATGTAGCAGTCTGCTTCTGCAAAGATTTACAGCCTCGGAAACCCTATGGGGCAGTTCTACTCTGTTCTATAGGGTCCTATGAGTCAGAATCTACTTGACAACAATGGGTAAAGTTACAAAAAGGAGCCCTGGTGGCACAGTGGTTAAGCACTCAGCTGCTAACCAAAAGGTCGGTGGTTTGAACCCACCAGCCACTCTGGGGGAGAAAGATGTGGGCAGTCTGCTTTGGCAAAGGTTACAGCCTTGGAAACCCTTTGGGGCAGTTCTGCTCTGACATACAGGGGAACTCTGAGTTGGAATCCACTCGACAGCAACCAGTACAGGTGAAGTTACAAGCTTGGATCCTGTTAAAAATAATTTTAAAAAATTTTGTTGGATATTTAATTCTGGTTTCAGGAA